GGAGGCCAAGGCAGGAAGACTCCTTGAAGCAACCAGTGGTGAGACCAGCTGGGCAATGTAGCAAGACCCTGTAAAAAAACAGAATCAGCCAAGGTTGCAGTATAAGCCTGTAGTCTTAGATATTTAGGAGGCTGAGGCAGGAGGACTGCTTGAGCCCAGGAGTTCAAGGCTACAGTTAAGCCACTGCACTCCAGCTTGAGTGACAAAGTGAGACTGTGTCTCACTAGTGAAAAAAAGATGGCTAGGTGCAAGGTGGAACTTAAAATAAGTACTTTCTATCAGAGAAAACTTTTATTTTAATACACATTTAGCTTTTTCTTCTTCTATACTTTCATTCATTTCAAATCCTCTATTTTAATGACAGTCACTTGGCCAATTTACTTAGCTCTGAATTACACTTAATTATACCTAAATGGGTTCTACTTAATCACTTCTCTGGAAACCTATGTTCTTAAATTTTCAGAGATCCAAAGTTAACACTGAATCTGGAGACAGGCATCACCAGCAGCCTTCCAGTGAAGATGAATGACACTGTGCAAAAAGCATCTTCCTCCGCTGGTTGCTCAAGGCAGCACTGTAGCTATTTAAAAAGAAAAAGAAAAGAAAAATACAGACAAACCAACCTGTTCCGGGAGAAATGATAGATATTCATCCTAGACAGGCACATTATAAAAGTTATTCTAGAAGTTTGATCTCTAGGCTCCTTCAACAGCTCTCCTGGCATCTATTTTATTTTTTCTTTGAGACAGAGTGTCATTATGTTGTCCTCGGTAGAGTGCTGTGGCATCACGGCTCATAGCAACCTCAAACTCTTGGGCTTAAGGGATTATCTTGCCTCAGCCTCCCCAGTAGCTGGTACTACTACAGGCCCCCACCACATTGCCCGGCTATTTTTTGGTTGTAGTTATTGTTATTTAGCAGGCCTGGGCTGGGCTTGAACCTGCCAGCTTTTGGTGTATGTGGCTGGTGGCCTTATTCAGTGAGCTATAGACGCCGAGCCTTGCATCTATTTTAACATGATCCACCACAAATTTCAGCTATGGCTTAATAACAAAAGAAAACACACTTTTTAAACAAGCCCTATTATTATCCATTTCCTCACTATCAAAAAAAACCTCACAAACTTCTTGGTTCTCCCTTTGTTAGTTTCAGTCTAGATGCTATTTCCATTTTTTCCCAAGCATCATTATCTGATTGTGACTTTTTATGGACCAGAATGATTATGTAATCCTACATAATTTTGGACCACAATTTAGAAAAGCCATTCTTTCCAAACAGACATGATACACAAGACAATTTTTTAAACATTAACTGGCACTTTGGTAGAAGGAGTTAGTAAAATTGGTAACACCAAAAACAGGTTTCCAGCAGCACCTGTAGCTCAGTGAGTAGGGAACCAGCCCCATATACCAAGGGTGCCGGGTTCAAACAGGATACTGGCCAAACTGCAACAAAAAAATAGCCGGGCGTTGTGACGGGCGCCTGTAGTCCCAGCTACTCCGGACGCTGAGGCAAGAGAATCACCTAAGGCCAGGAGTTGGAGGTTGCTGTGAGCTGTAACGCCACAGCACTCTACCAAGGGCAACAAAGTGAGACTCTGTCTCTTGCAAAAAAAAAAAAAGAATAGGTTTCCAACTGAAGGGGGATAAAGCTCACCATAATGTAGGGACTTTTCTTACCAACAACTTCCTTATAGACTTTATCTCTAATGTCTAACACTTTCAAAGAGACAAGGATTAAAAATAAGACTACAAATTAGCAAATACCAAGTAGAGAAAAACCTCTGTAAGAGGTACTGTCAAGTTACTCAATGGTAACCATTCCTAGACCACTGCTGTATGGATGGTTCCCCTCGATGACTGGCCTAGCTTTAGAGTCCTAACTCTAGCCAGTGGTTATGGTGGCTCCAGAGCAAGGAATGAGGGTAAGAAAGAAAATCCATTTACAGGGAATCTGGCAATTTGAGGAGCTGGTAACTAAACTAGTTTAGGTAGTCATCAAAATGGTTTGAGGTCAAGGATTAAAAGCTAAACTTCCTTGTTCAAAATCAAAAGGAAAACATTAACCACCCACACAAGTAAAATACCACAGTCAATGAAACAACCAAATCCAAACTGTGTGTTCACATACCTATGTCACAAACTCTTGTCCTTTTACCTCTAGAGAGCAAACTGGCAAGTTTATGAAGAAATGAAACTTGTACAGCACTTTTACAACGTTCATTTATCTAAGAAATACTACAATACAGAACTTTAATGAGAGAAAACAATACTATGTATGCTCTCACTTAAAATGACCTGGAAAAAGTCTGTGATCTAGCCCACTAATATCTTGGCTAAATAATGAAAAAAAGACATTCAGTCTTTTCCTTACTTTTTCATTTTCTCTTTAATGTAAATGTAATGATGATAGTCTCTAAAACACCATTATGAGAATACTTAAGTTCATTCATTTGACATTCCTATAAAATCAGTACCTGAAAGCCTGCTACCTACCACTTAAGCAGCCCCTAAATTCAGGAAGATTTTTACAGACGGAACTTGAACTCATATAAAGTATGATTTAGCTACAGTCAGAAAGGCACGTGACAACTATTAAGTTATACAAATTCTCAAGTGTCTGAAGAAATGGATTAGATTACTTGACACATTAACACAAAGTTATACCAAGTATGGGAATAAGATCAACGATTTTATAACAAGGAAAATTCTAAACGTGTTACTGACAAAGAAGACAAGTCTAAGACCCACTTAAGAAAAAGGGCACAATACAGTTTCCTACCACACATTAAGTCAAGAATCCTAACTTTGTGAACTTTCTAAGGGTGAAAAGATCCCTGTATAGATAGCCAACAGTTTCTGCCCGATCACAAGACTGCAATGCATCTTGGGATTCCTTCGGGACGGTTCGTGCCGTAGATATTTAAAACGTAATTCCAGTTTTAATAGTAGAAATTGCACCAAAAGACGCGCTCTCGGCTGGGCCCAAGGTGAATGGAAACCCGAGCATTTGTCCTCCCCAGTTCCTCGGACCTCTCAACGCCCACCCGGCCAACTCCTGGCTCCATCTGTCCTCCCTGCTGGGTCTCGTGGCACTCATCAGCCGCTGCCCTTGCTTGGTCCCATACGGTTCCTACTTCCGGGGGTAACCGCAGCCCCCCACCCAGGGCAGGGAGAGGCGGGGCTCAGGCCCGCGGGGTCTTCCGACGCGCCGCCCCTCCCTGCCCGGCCCACCGCCGCCCCACCCAGGCCTGCCGGCGCCCGGCGCCACTGTCAGCGCCCCACGTGCCGACCAGGGCCCACGGCCGCGCGTCCCCAGGCCGCACCCCTACTCCATGTGGGCTACAGCCCCCACGCCGGCTGCCCGACGTCCCCTCCCGCCTCCCCGGGGCTGCCCAGCGTCTCGGCCCTTTACCCGGAGGGCCTCCCGCGCCGCTGCCGGCTCCGTGATTGTTGGCGACGACGCCAGCTGGAGGAGGCGGCAGCTGCGCCGGACCCCGTAGGAAGGACGGCACGAACTCGGCGGCATGGACGTTGGGCACGAAGGGTTTGGCGTTGACGTTGAGCTGCCGGCTGAAGGCCGCACTGAGGTGTTCACGCTGGGCCTCGGTCCCCGCCGCCGCCAAAGGGCCGCCGCTGCCACCGCACGGGCCCGGCCCGGGGGCCTCCATGTCCGCCTGGTCCCAGCAGTCGGGCGCCGACTCGCT